TTGTCATAATTTGGAATTCTTGACAAGGATGCTGGGGTTTTTATCTGGTTGATTTTGTTGGTTTTTTTCCTGTAGGAGGAGGAAGGTGACTGATAAGTTGCCTCATGAATCAGTACTTTAATTGTATGCCCAAATTATCTTGTGAATGATTGTTTAAGAATAGAAATGCTGTGCTGCATTTTATGGCAACAAAAATATGATTTTTTTTTTTGGTGAAACTTGTCTATATAAAGACACATAACACTGAAATAGCCAAATTGCTCCTAATTTATACCTCCTATGGCTTTATTGCAGTTTTCTGTGTAAACGTGCCCCTAGAGAGCACAGGTAACTTTAAATAGAAACTGTAATGAGATTTTGAACCACATTGTTAAAATCCATACATAATATGTCGTAGAAGGAGTTTTCACATGTCATGACTTTTATTCATAACTTTTGTTAGCGTAGCTGTTTTCAACGTGCTAATTTTTTCAAGGTAAAAAACTAGATAAGACATCAGGACTTTAATATAGTTATGATCTGAACTTATATACATACGGAATTAGTCTCTGTGTTTCAATTTTGTCTTTCTATGAATAACTTTCAGTCTAGAAAGCCCTTCTTGGAGTTTAAGGAGGAGTAGAATGTTAGAAGAGTACTTCTGTATATAAAAGGGAGTACTACCTCTATATACAATATTGGTTTATGAAAAGAAATTATTTGGGATAAGGATGGGAAGTAAAATATTTCTAGACTTACCTACAGTAGTATAGGATGGAAGACAGAGCACTAGCAGCTGAGATGACTGGGCATTTCCTTGTCTCCCTCACTTAGAGCGTTGTGTAAGCGAATTTTTCTCATAAACTAGCCTATGCGTTTGAGATGTATGCTTTAACACTGTCTGTGTATATAAAAATAATTGTGTAGATTCTGAAAGTTCTAATGGTACAGAATATAAAAGTTATGGCTGTCTGAATGCCTTGGTCCTGGTGTTTGTTCTACTCTTTATGTCTGTGTGCCAGTAATGCGTGGGGAAAGCCTCAGTGTGCTCTGAAGTGCGTTGGAGATCACGGATGGGAGGATTGTGTGCGTTCTGGTAGGATTGTGGCAGTGGAAGACAGTCAGGGCTGAAAACTATCACCAAGTATTGTCTGTGTCCTTGTCTCTGAGAAATAGCATTGGTCCTTGAAAACCTCATATGGTCTTACCAGCCTCTTCAGTGTTGAGAGAAAACATTCCTCCTTCCCCACCTTCCTTGCTGGAAATGTTCACTCCTAGACTTTGTGGGCTTTCCACCTCCCAAGTGACAGAGAGCTAAACCCCCTGAACACAGTAGGGTTTGAGTGAAACCGGAACAGTGCTCACAACCAGCGTCCTGTCTGCCTGCTCATAGCGACGTGGTATAGTAATCCTGAGCAGAAAAGAATTACAGAGGGCAGACGCGTGTAATGGGTCTCGTGTGCATTTGCAAAGTATCGACCTGCTGGAACATCATTTGCTCATTGCGCCGCATTCACTGACCTGGGAACACAAGCGCAGACCTTTGCGGGGAGCGGGCGTGTGGTGTGGTTGACGCGGGTACGTACCACCCTGTGAATGTGAAAGGTGGCCTGTGTGTGCCTCTCCTGGAGAGCTGGGAAGTAGGGATGCTCTGAATGATCGTAATGTTTAGTGGTTTGTGTTGCATTTAGATGAGACGTATATCTCCCTGTTGTTTATAGATTCAGCGGTGTGTGTGAGAAGGAAGTGGTTAATGTTAGATCTGTTTGCCAAATCTCAGTGCGGTGATGGCTTAGACTTCTTTGTGGACAAGTGAAGATGAGTTGCTCAGTGTTCTTTATTGTTCTTTCTGTAAGCGGTATAAAGTATCGTTGCATCTTCTGATTCTTGTCAAAAATAAGCTATTTGATGGACAGTTAATTAACAGTTCGTTACTAGCATAATTTTGCTTATGGTAAGCGTTTTGGGCTGGCCTTCTAAGGAAAGAAAACTGACAGTGCAGTTGTGGTTCCCCTTATTGTCCCTTCTTCCTCCTTGAATAATACCTAAACTTGTTGGTCGATGTCAGTCGAGTTTGTTAGAGTTCAAATTGCTGAGATATCTAAGTTCCTACAAATATGAATATCAGTAGGTAGTTAGAGAAGTTACTGCTTCCCTGCAGGGAGTGGCACAAAGGTCAGTCTACTCATTCTGTTTTTCTGTCAGCTTTTGGATCAATTGGTTCCTACATGATTTTTGTTTTATCCCATTATGTGTTCTTTCTTGTTAGGAGGAAGGCAGAGGAGCTAACGTTGTGGATAGGTTAGAGATTAGGGTATAAGGAATGCAGATCTAGAACAACTTGCTACTATTTCACAATAATGTTGCAAATTGAAATGTCAGTGCTTGTATTTTTCTTTACCATTATTTACAAATATATGTTAAATTTATAGCATAATGGCTATGCCATATGCTTTTGGGATAAGCAATACCTGGTCTCCATCCCAGAGATCTTCAACCTAAAAAATACAGAACAGCCCAGGTGTCAGTGAGCCTTGAAAGATGATCTGGTCCAAACTTCTGTGGGAAAGGGAACCTAGATGACGACGTCTATCATCCTGTCCAGCCACATGTTGAAAACCTGAAAACAGTATTGGAATGCTGTGAAATTCCTGATCTCTTTAACCTTGATTTTCAGACGTGAAATACCCTGAGCTGCTGGAATCAACTGTCCACAAGTTGCAAAGTTTAACCGTGGAGTTAGGGCCCCTGGTGTGACCTTGGGCATTTAAGATGAAAACTCTAGTTGAAAGTTAGGTGTTACATTGGCAATAAACAGCAAACTTAAATTACTCTCTTACTGGAGTATATTGATCTTTCTGTCTCTCTGTTTGCTTCCTATTATATGTCTATCTGCAGTCTATTTCAATTTGGTTTTCTGTCTCTCAGATTTAAACACAATTTTCTGCTCCTTTTCTCCATTTTACCCATCACTATTTAATCTGCTTACAGCTCTTACCCCCGCCCCCCCCTTCTTTTTCTCTCCAGAAGCTCCTTATCCTTTATGATTTCTTTGGCATCCAGCACAGGGCTAGTATTGAGACGTTCCACTTCCTCCCCTCTTTCTGATGTTTTCAAGGTAAAGAGAGAATAAACTAACAGTTTCTTTGGAGTACTAGTAAAGTGTGGAGGAGTGCCTTCTCTTAAGTGGCTAATTACTTTCAGTCCTTTTACGCACTCTTCTGTCCCGGTATTTACTAAGTTTCTTAGCTTGCAAAAAAACCCGAAACCAAAAGAAAAAACTCGGACAAACACTACCACAACCTTTCCCCAACCCACCCTCTAGTTCTCCTTTTCAAGTCTCTTACCCTCCCATTGCTGCCCTATCCTGCTTTTCCTATCCTGCGTACTCTGAGAAATTGAAGTAGGAAGAGAATCTGTTTTCTGCTAGTCTCTCTCGTGTTACCTTTTAAACACTCGAGTGTGAAAAAACAGCCTGTGCTCTAGGGTTCGCTGGTACACATCTGGAAGTTCAGAGAATGGTTTTTTTTTTCCTCCTTGGGTTTGCTTGTAGTTTTAAAAAATAGAAGCATAATAGAAGTATTGCCTGCAACAGAGTATAATAAGAATGCATAAGCAAAGATTGCAGTGCTGAAAATGAAATGCTTTTGAAAGACCCATACTACTGAGATTGCTTATTCTGAAAACATTGTTATCAGTGCACATGTGATTTTAAACTTTTGAGATAATGCTTGCTCTGTGTGACATTAGTATTGGCTGTGTTAACTGGCATTTGGCAGAAGGTTTCTGAGTCATGTACCACGCTTGGTTGCTCTGCCAAATAATGAGAAAAAAAAAACTGAGTTTTTTTTCATAGTTCTCTAAATTACAACTGATGGGGAGACTGGCTTTCTAAAGTGCTATGGATTTTTCTGCAGTGACATCTGTGGAGTGTATATATAGTAGGTTCCCAAGCTGGAAGCCAGAAGAGTATGTGGGAAGTGTGAAAGGGGGATGGGGAGGGCAGCAAACAAGAAATTCAGACAAAAGGAAATTGTTGATGCAAGTTAATGCCTTTTCTTAGTGATATTGATAAATTTCTGCTGCTGTTCAAGCAGTCTAAATTATTCTCCCTCTGATTCCGTTTCCTTTTTGCTTTTCTTCTGTTGCCTGGAAAACATGAGTGGAATCTAGTAGGACAAGAGACTACTTTTTCATTGTTTTGTGGCTCTGTTGCTAGCTATTGTCCTCTTGGCTCAGGCAGCTCATGTCAGTCTTTGTGTGGAGTAAGAAAAATGTTTTTCCTTTTTTCTTTAAGGATTAATTTTCTAGACTATGTAGATTGCTTTTATTTGCAAAGCAAGCAGTGCTAACTTTAGAGTGTCTCCCACCAACTAATGTATTTTTGCTTGCGATGTCACCTTTACTGCTTTCTTCGTTCGGATGTGCTTAATAAATTTGTGGGCTTGTTTGGGGGTAAAGTAGCCTTGAAATCTAATTTCGTTTTTTAATGTACTTCATTTAAAAAAACTCCAATTCTAAGCAAAACAGTGCATTTCAGGAATATATTTCTGTCAGGAATAAAAAAAAGCAACACCACAGATCACCGACAATGTTTGTTTTCAACAGTTGGAGGTAGAGCCAATTTTGCTCTTAAGTAGGAGCACAGTTCTAACACCCAGTAAAGTAAAGCAGCCTTGAGCGTTGTAACTGAGATCTTGTCTGTTGCGGCTGCCTTAACTCTGTTCTTTATTACTTCACTGATTATTTATAAATGAATATTGTTTTTGAGGACATTCTTGAAACAGAACTGAAAAGTAGCTGTTCGCTAGTGTTAAAACACACTTGTGGATGTGTTGGGTAGTGCAGAAAATGCGACATTTAGTTCTCTTGTAAGTAACAGTTCTTGCAGGTAGTGTTTATGTCGTCTTCTTAATTGATTTTATTTTTGCTGTACTAACTACTTATATGGTGGTAGAGAAAATATATTGAAAATGGAATACGATAGCTTCATCATTTGTGTTTTTTTTTTCTTTTTCAGACATCTGTTAACAAGCTAAAAGTGACAAAACCATGGCTCAGTTTCCAACACCTTTTGGGGGTAAGTTGTTTATAGTGTATTCTGAACTATTTTTATATGCAAAACCTCTGCATAAATCTGTTGCTTTCTGATGATGTTCTGCATGGAAGTATTTGTGGGTAGTATATCTTTTTGAGATGATGATTTATCTGTTTTGTCGTGGTTTTGCAGACCCATTAGAGAACACATGTGAAATTTTGCAGAGGCACCTCAAATGATTCAAAGAGAAAAGCTGTGCTCTATCCCCTTTTTGTGTATTGATCCATTGCAGTCCTGCGGTTTGTAACTGGAGGGCAGATCCAGGCCGCTCAGCTGCTGGCTCATGAGGGCATAGCCTCATTCTGGATTAGTTGTGGCTAAGAAGCAGATAGGCTTTTTCTTTGAGGATTCCTGGACTTTTTTGTTGCCTAATAATACAGCAGATGCCTTTAGATGCTGTCACTTCAGATTTATTTTCGTTATTGTCCCATAACCCACGCAAAAGTACTGCATTATTTAGCTCTTCATTGATAACAGGGGAAGGCGTAGCGTCCTGAGCTTCAGGCTTTTTGAAAGGTCCCGTAAGGGCTCTGGTAGTGCCATAGAGACATGACTTCACATGAAATACATTTTCCAGCGCAGTTTTGCAAGGGATCTGAAGAAAGATACATTTCAGTGCTGAAACCTAGTAACTGCTTTGGTTCCGCTTAAATGTTGCATCTGTTAAGGGCTTTCTTCTGGACATGCAGATAAGATTGTGTGATTTTTGTTGTGTGTATATGTATGTTTGTGTATACGTATGTATGTATCTGTTGGAGTGGGTCCAGAGGAGGGCCACAAAGATGATCAGGGGGCTGGAGCACATCTTCTCTGCGGACAGGCTGGGAGGGTTGGGGTTGTTCAGCCTGGAGAGGAGAAGGCTCCAGGGAGACCTTATAGCAGCTTTCCAGTACGTGAAGGGAGCTACAGGAAAACTGGGAAGGGACTCCTTATCAGGGCATGTAGTGATAGGACAAGGGGCAATGATTTTAAACTAGAGCAGGGTAGATTTAGATTAGACATTAGGAAGAAGTTCTTTACTGTGAAGGTGGTGAGACACTGGCACAGGTTGCCCAGAGGAGTGTGGCTGGCCCCTCCCTGGCAGTGTCCAAGGCCAGGCTGGATGGGGCTTTGAGCAACCTGGGCTGGTGGGAGGTGTCCCTGCCCGTGGCAGGGGGTTGGAACTGGGTGGTCTTTGAGGTGCCTTCCAACTCAAGCCATTTTATGACTCTATGATATATACATAAATATGCATGCATGTACATGAAAAAGTGTGTGTTTGTATGTATATAAGTATATATGGAAGTCTAATTTTTGAGATGGAATATAGCTAGGAGCTAAATTGCATCTAGTGTTAGTATTTCAGTGGGAGACTTCAGGAAATGTATGTTATCCCAAGTCCGTTGTTAGATAAACCCAGTTCTTGTTAAATACAATTGACTGGATGCAATCTCTGCCAGTCTGAAAAAGTCAATGAAGCACAACAGAAGAAGCGTCTCTTTGCACATGGTAGCTAGAGCAAACAGAAAATTGAAAGTCGCCATTCATTGCCTCAATTATAGTTAAGTCCAGCCCTCTGGAATTAAAGCTTTGATGCCAGGCTTTCTCAGTTTGGGAGTGCAACTGGCTCCCAAAAAATTTGATGAAATAAACTCTCTGGACAGTTTCACGTAGGATACCCTTCCAGGTCATGTAAAAAGTTGTAAATAGCTTCATTTCACTGTGATTTTCACAGTGTTAAGAGAAGTCATGTCACAAATGAAATCTCCTCATTCAGAATAAAGTATTTGCTTTTGCTTAGAGTTAGGGTTGTGCGTTACGTACACCCATACTTGACCATGTACGTACATTCTTAACGGAGATCTTGTCTTCAAAGCATTCTCCTCTGCCGTCTTCAGAGAGTTCTCATTGCATTACAGATGGATAGCCGCTTTCTTTTTTAAATTTTTAAGTGTAGCCATTTGATCTGTCATCTGTTGTCCAGGGTCTTGTTAACTCTAGAACATGGCTTTAGGAAGGAGGGAATTCACTATTTCTTCTCAGACAATTTTTCTCATCTGACTGCTCTACAAAGAGGAAGTTGAAATCTTTAATTTGTAATGTGGTGACAGGGAGATTTGGTTACCTGAACCAAGTCTACAAAGTAGCGTCATACCTCCTCTTAGGAGAATGACAGCAGAAGTCTAAAATTATAAGAGGAAACAGATGTTGTAAAGACAATACCCATTTTTAGGGGGGTGTTCATCATCCTTTCCAGAATGCAACCTTTTCTGTTACCTGTAGTCACCAAAGAAGATACAGATAACATTTAGTCAATCTCTATCTTGGGAGAGCCCTCACCGCAGATATGCAATATCTGTGCAATATCCCTCTGCTTGTGAACACCACCAATGATATTTTTGGTTTTTATTTTACTTCCTTTTTTTCTCAGGAATCTTTCAAGTCAGCTTGGGTATGGAAAGAGCACAGGACCCAATATTTAAATTGGGGTGACCCATTGATATTCCAGAATGCTGCTCATCTGAAGGATGTCTAAATAAAAAAAAAAAAAAAGGGGACGTGGTAGGATTTTTATAGTTGTTGGGAAGAATGTGGTGTGTTTGACCTTCTGTCAGTTTGTCCAGGACAAGAAAATGCCCATTTCACATGCAGGAGCCCACTGCTTCACTTTTGCAGATGAGATGATTGCTAAGCCGTGTAAAAGCAAAGATAGTTAGCTTGCTGCTGCAGTCAAGAATAGTTTGCTTATGAGTCAATTTTGTGGTTTGATGACTGCTCCTTTGTATCCAAATATGTTGAAAAGCTCCATGACCTCTGTTTTGGCATCGAGGATCTGAAGCCATGAATGATGTCTTGGTGTTGGGTAGGATCCTGCTTTGTGCCCTCCCATAAGTCTTACTGTTTCCTCAAGTAACAAAAGATAGAAATGAGACGATGCCAGAGAATGCCATTTATACTTTTCTGACTGAAGAGGCTTGCTTGGTTTAGCACTGGCTTTTTTGATGTTATGTCCCACAAAGGAGATCTACTGTTTCAATACCAACCAAATGTCCATCTGGAAGAGTAAATATTGACATTCATTTATTCTAGTTACAGGGACTACAGAAAAGAAATTAACCAATTTTGTTTTAAAATAGTTAATAGAATGCATTTTTGGTTACCTCATGCTAGAAGAGTTTTTAATTCTGGGGTTTATTGCCTCCTTTGCAAAAGGATAGGAGCAGCTGGGGTTTTTTGCTGGTGATTGTGCTTTTTGGGGGTTGGTTTGGTGTGCTTTTTTTGTTTTATTTGGGTTTTTTTTGTAATGGAATCATGCATACCTCAAATTGAGAGAGAGCAAGCCAACAAATCATTGCAAATTTCGTGTCGGTGTTGTGGGTTTGTTTTTTTTTTTCTCCTCACATTATATTCAAGAAATTCTCCTTTATATAAGCTACTACATCCAGCCATAGGATCTTAGGCTGGAGTAGTCACGTTTCCAGTACAGGGAGATGCTAATCTGCTCCTAGATGGCCTAGACTAATTGGCCTAGTCTACACATTGGTCATAAAGTCTTAATAACAGCATTCCTTTCTTTCTGTCAGGAGTTCATGGGAAGACGGGAGAGACAATTACTTACGTGAACTATTGTGTTTAGCGATGTTCATATCCAAAGAAGAGGCCTGTTTCATCCCTATAGGGAGCACAGCTATAAAATCTATTTCCAATGCCTCTGTGAGCTTAATCACTAACATTCTGTGATTTTTGGACTAATCTTAAAATGTCCCTTCTCTGAAATGTTAGCCTGTCTGCTTCTAGAAGTACATAGATTACCTGAAACTGAGATGATAATTTTTTTTACAAAGAATCTATCTTTTCTTTCGTTAATGAAATCTACCATTTAAAGAATGTTTTTCTTCCACCTTGCCCATTTCCAAAGTACATTTTGCCACAGGAAGTAGATTTTAAATAGTAGAAATTCAAGAGGCAGGAAATTCTCATGTTCTCCATAACTGCTGAATCTAATTCTGCCTCAGCCTGCAAGCAATTTGAAATACTTGTGGACCTTGTTACCTGAAATTTAATCTCTGAGAATTTAGTGCTGAAACAGAGTGAATGCTAGATCTCCTCTTTATTTTTCTGCAAGTCAACATTTTATCTTTTCATATTCCTTCAATAAAACTGTGATTCCATTAACTTAGATGCCTTCATAGTATTACATTCTTATACAGTAGGAGTTACAGGAAGGTGCACCAGCACAATGTACTTCTACAGATGTTGAAATCATGATTTTTTTACTGATTAGAAGTTGTTGAAACAAATGGGAAACACAATGTTGGGGAGTTCGTTGGAGGTATCAAGTGGAAGTAGAGATATGTTTGTTCTGAGTAGAAATAACCTGAAGGATGAAAGTGGAATGTGTGCAGGAGGGGAGAGCGGAGAGGAACTCCTGCAGAAATGGAAGTAGAAATGAAGAAAGTGTGGTGGAAGGATGTATTGTAGAAGCGGTAGTAAATCTCAGCGTAAACTAATTCTTCACCTACAATTTATGAATGTGGGATGAAGAATCTTGGCTGTGTAACATTCTTAATTGTATTATTCATTCTCAGAAGAATGAGGAGCACTTTTTCCTGTGCTATTGTTGCCCTTGAAAAATGTTTACTATCTGATTGAATCATACTTTTCCTAGACAAGTAAGGAGAGTTTTTCTCTTATAATAGTACAGAACCACATAGTACATGACCGATTATTTGAGGTACCTTTTCAGTTAGAAGAACTTGCATTTCAGCTGGGCGTGCCCTGAAAGGCAACCAACCTCCCACTCCCCTAAGCATCTAGTGTTACGAAGTTTCTGAATTATATTCTTTGATATGCAGATGTAGGGTGGGTGTAGGGGTGATTGTAGCTTAAATTTTTGTGGGAGCCAGGTAAGGGAATCAGTGCTCAGAAATCATCTTAATTTGGTAACACTTAGTTCTAGTAAGATTGTAAGTCCTAACTGGCTATCTAAGAATTCACGGAGCTTTCGGCTATAGGCTTTGGGTGAACGGCTTCTGTATCTGTGTTGTTTTCAGAGAGTCCTGTGTGATATGATATGCTTACATTCAGAAATAAAGATAGTGCTGTTTTGACATAACGTTTCTTAATTTTATTTCTCCATTTCTTTTGAACTAGGCAACCTGGATATCTGGGCTATTACTGTGGAGGAGAGAGCTAAACATGATCAACAGTTCCATAGTCTGAAACCAACATCTGGATTTATCACTGGTATGAAATAGTTTTCTGTTCTAATTTCATTTAATTAAATCTTAACTGATGAGTCTAAATGTTTACAGAGTTGCCTGGGTGACATTTGTGCATAAGAATTTAAAAAATTGAACAGATCTTACTAATTTTATATCCTGTTTTTCATATGTCTTGCCACATCAACCCCATCTTTTCTGATATTTTCAGATATTTTTCTGATGTTTACCAACCGTATACCTGCTTTATTACACTTGATTTTTCTGTAAGTGGGATTCAAATGGTTTACAATGGTGGCTCTATAAAGCAGATCCGTTGCATAGAGCCAGCTGATACAAACTACAGAGTTAGCGTTCAGGATGTGCAATCACCCTGATGCCTAGTAATATTTATAGTGCTTTTAAAGCGCTCAGTGAATTAACTTGAGTCTGGCTGACATGGAGTTAACTTCCTTCATAGAACTGTAGAACAGTTTCCATTGGAAGAGACCCTCAAGATCATTGGGTCTAACCGTTTCCTAGCCCTATAAACACCACTAAACCATGTCCCTCAGCACAACATCTACCTATCGTCACTTAAACACCTCCAGGGATGGTGACTCAGCCACCTCCTTGGGCAGCCTGTTCCAATGCCTGACAACCTTTTAAATAAAGAAATTTTTCCTAATATCCAGCCTGAACCGGCCCTCGTGCAACTTCAGGCCATTTCCACTTGTCCTGTCACTCGCCACTGGGGACAACAGACCAGCCCCCTCCTTGCTACAACCTCCTTTCAGGTAGTTGTAGAGAGCGATGAGGTCTCCCCTCAGTCTCCTCTTCTCTTGACTAAACAGCCCCAGATCCCTCAGCCGTTCCTCACATGACGCATGCTCCAAATCCTTTACCAGCTTGGTAGCCTGACTCTGTACCCTCTCCACCATTTCGATGTCCCTCTTGTAGTGAGGGGCCTGAAACTGGACACAGGACTGAAGCTGAGGCCTCACCAAAGCCAAGTACCAGGGGCATGATCACCTCCCTGCTCCTGCTGGCCACACTGTTCCTGATCCAGGCCAGGATGCCGTTGGCCTTCTTGGCCACCTGGGCACACTGCTGGCTTGTGGTCATAGTAGCCTGTATGGTGCCATGTTCTGGACTTTGTGGCTGTGACTGAACAGTGCTTGCAAGGCCTCAGGGCTTTCCCTGTTTCTCGCTTTGCAGTCCCCCAGCAAGTAGACTGGGGATGGGTAAGAATTTGGGAAGGGGCTGTAGCAGAGACAGCTGACCAAAGGGTTATCCCATACCACCATGCTCCCCAAAACCTGGGGGGAAGGGGCCTGTTGTCTTCCAAGGTTGCTATTGCTCAGTGACTGAGCTTGTGGGAAGTGGTGAGTGATTACCTTTGCATCACTTCAGGTAATTTTTTCTCCTCTTTCACTTACTAAACTGTCTTTATCGTGACCAATGATTTGTCTGAATTTTCTCACTTTTGCTGTCTCTATTCTCTTCCTCATCCTGTTGGCGAGAGCGAAGTGAGAGAGCAGCTGGGTACTTAGTTACTGCCTGGGGTCAACCCACAATACTATCATACTAACAGATTAAGAAGTCTCTTTAAATAAAGATGTATCAATTTAACTGAAATGTGTTTCAGGAACTGATTGTTTAAACTAGTGAAATCAGTGTGGGTGCCCTCTTCAAAAAATCAAAGTGATTGAAGTTGAAAATTGATTGAAGTTGTGGGAAGCAAAGCTGCAAGTAAAGCAATTGCACTGATCCTACTAAATTTTCATTGAACACCACTAATGTGCTTTGGGTTTAAAGGCAGTAGGATGCCTACTTTTTTGTTAGGTTATTTTGTTGCATTTCATTTTCTTTAGTGCTACCTAAACTAGTTTCCAGAGTGTGAAATCAGATTCGGATTCTTAGCAGAGTCTCATCACAGCCATACATACCTCTAAATATACAATTTGATTGTTTCTGCTCCTGTTGTGTGACAGATAAGGTACAAAATACCACAGTTTTTGTTGACCTTTGATATTTAGTGCTATTTCTAGTCTGTTTACAACTTTCCTTTACAGAGGACAACATTTCCCAGTGCCTAATCATTTTTTAATTGTTTTGCTATCCTTACTTTAATGGTGGCTTGGCAGGTTCACAGTGGTAAAGACCACTTTATTTAGTTTGTGTTAGCTGACTGGCATTGTACTTCCAAAAGAGCTAAGATAAGAGTTTATACTGGAAGAAAAAGTTTTCTTGTTCTCACAAGGCAGAAGCCATTAACACCGATTAGGAGCTGTGAGTTTCCTATTGCCCTAAATGTTTATGCCTGCTTGACTTTTCGTGGTGCTGACTCTTGCAGACTTAAACAGGGTGTGCTTGTTGGAAATATCTGATAGGTTTGCAAGAGACAAAATAAATATAAATATCATACTCTGTTATGTATGTATAGCATTAAGTATTTATGGGTTTACTGTTGCTTCTGTTTTAGATATTTTTGACTTGTGATTTTGTGTTTCTTCTTAGAGGTATTTTTAGCATTTTCTGAAATAACGTCCTATTTATTTTATAGGTGATCAAGCTAGAAACTTTTTTTTTCAATCTGGGTTACCTCAACCGGTATTAGCACAGATATGGTGAGTATATGAGAGGGAATGGGAGAACTGGGGTTATCCCACAGAGTGAAGTTATTCAGTACATACTTGGACAGTAACTCTGTTTCACAGCCTGGAGGTTAAAGTCAGCAGTTTAGTTCAGCATCCTTTCCAAAAGTCTACAAGGCAGATATGCTCTGCAGTATGTTCTGGCTGAGTTCCTAAGTTATTCGTTCAGTTACTGGAAGGAGGCATCCTTCTACAAATAGCGGTTTTGAAGCTGGTGATTTGTGACCATCATTTCAAATTACTAAATGCTTTCAGCTTTATTAAACTACTAAAACAATCGTTCAGCACATTAATTAGTATTAAAAAAACCTCTTAATGGGAGAGCCTCTGTGAGACTTGAAATATTTTTTACAAAAATTAAGACTGATACTATTTTCATTGAAATTGGAGACACAGCTTGAAAGCTTGAAATTCTTGCTATTCCTTGGTGAGTTTAGACTGATCAAAATCTCCATTGCTGTATATTACACATCACAAACATTTCCAAAATGTTTCTTTGTGCAGGATTGCAGTTGTTTCTACTCCAAATTATATGACCCTGCTAGACTCAGACATGGTAACTTGCACAGGTTATTCTTAATTTATGTTAAGTATATCACTACTGAAACTTGTTTTGGTGCTAGACAGAGCGAAATTGTGCTATTTTTCATTTTAGATTGGGAAAAAAGCAGCAGAGGAATGGATAACTTCTGAGAAATCTTTTAACTTCTCCTCTGTTGTTAACTGTTTGAAAGGGAGAGTAGTTTATTGCAGTTACAAAAACTTGTAGTAAGGACTTCTAAAGGAAGAAGGAAGAGAATTATTTTCTTTCAAGAAAAACAATTGCTTTGGAAATACACGTGCCTAAAAGAGGGGCCGGATTTACATGGCTTTTAAATATGTTTTCTCTTTGTATTATCTTCATCTTACAAATATCAAATCTGGTCTAGTTATCTTATCTGCTGAAGATTCAGTGAAAATTCAAATGTCCCTGTGGGACATCTCTTGCCTCTTAATTAAACAAGGAAAGAAGTTTTGTCCTTTCTCAAAAAATGTTCATAGTCATTATCGCTAAATAGGTGTTAACAAAGCTAAACAGTTGTAAATAGTCTGACTAAAATCTCTTCCCCTCTGAATTATTCAGGTTTTCAACCTCTTGAGAGGGAGAGAATCATTCCACTAGTTCTGTAGTTGTCATAGAGACAAGACTTGAACTCGCACTTTTTATTTAAATAAAGCTGAACTAAGACTTATTTGTGCTGCCTTTATAAATCATAAAAAAGCATGTAGACATCCCTTTCTCACTGCCTCCCTTCTTTTTTGATCATCTCTGAATTAGGAGAAGTAAATATTTAAGTAAAAATCTAGATCACTTGTATATATTCCTAATTTGAATTAGAGTAATAACTGGTAGGAAAATAGTTGCAGACAGAAAGAAAGAATTAAAAAAAAAGAAAAATAAAGGAAAACCTCCTTTTCCCACAACTCAGAAGATTTAATTCTTTTGATCTGTCAATGAAATTTTTTTATAACCTACCACAGATTACTGCTGTCTCACAGAAGCAATAGAAGTTAAAACTGCTCAGTGGCCAAAAGTCCTTTGCGGCCTGCAAAGGACGTCACAGTACACTCAAGACTGCTTTGAAAAATGTGGATCATTGTTTGTCTTCGCTCCCAGGAGTAAAATCTCAGAGTGGCACGCTTGCTTTGTGGTTTAATAGCAATACTCTATAATGTTGTCTGTCTGAATCTCTGTTGGCATTGATAGAAGTTCGTGAGTACTGTAATAGGGGAGTTCTGGAGTAATAAGCCCAGAATCCCCATGAGAGATACAAGCTGCACAAAACTTATTTTCTATTGATGTTCTTTATTTCCTAAATAGATTAAATTTATTTTTTTTTTAAGATGACATTTGATTATTAGAGTGAGGAGGCGCAACAGTCTTTAAGGAAGGAACGTTATTATTCTGAGTTAAAGCAACTTGTGAAACTCTTCAAATCAATTCTGTGATCCTAGAAATGTGGAAGTGTGTGTATGCTATATTTTGGAAATCTTTTCCTATGAGTCTATTTATTTCGAATATAGTTGATTGTATTAATCTATCTGCAAGATAGGAGCCTAGCATTTGTTTCATGAAGGATTACCCACAGCTGTTTATAGACAAGCTTATTCTAATACAATGTTTCATCTGTTTTGTTGGCTCTGGAAGTTCTTGTATAGAAAAGGCAACTGGGAAAGGAACTGCAGGGGGGATTGGCCTCATGAGTGATTGACCATACTGCTTCCAGAGCTCTCTGCAGAAAAATCTAGTCCTCTATCTCTGTGAGTTTCCAAAAATGAGTGAGAGAATTTTGTTTGCATAAGTGAGCAGTATAAGGATTTTCACTGTCTTGTATTTTAATTTTAAATAAAATTGAATTGCTGGTTTTGTATAATGAAAAAGTAGTTTTCACTAGAACTTCGAGAAATGCTAGCTAGCTCACTAGATGAAGGACCTGTTTAATGTCTTCTGCTGCAAGAGCTGCTTTGAGAATATTCTGCAGTTGGTGTAATTGTTTTCTAAGATGAGACTCTAAGCAGTACATCTTATTTTAATTTTCTTCATTAATCAAAGCTTCCCAAGAATTCACGTTCCTTAAAACATTTTTTTTTAGCATTGGGAATTTCTGTGTCCCTTCTCTTCATCATGCGTTTAAAAAACCAAAAAAGTAGTATCTGGAACCTCAGTGAAGCAAATTACTGGAATTATTATGATCTGTCCTGACAACTTCTTTACTGTTCTACCCCTTACAAGCTTTGGAGTCTGCCAAGCTGGTAATCTATTAAGAAGCCTCTAAGTGGGCTTTGAATTGAGACTGCAATGGCTTGTAAGATAACTGTTTTTAAGTAGGCAATAATCTGGCTTTCTTCTAAAGCCCTTATGAATCGTGGCCTCAAAAAGCATGTTCTGTGTAGCTGGTCTTTCTGGAATTAAATGAGTACTAAAAAAAATCACCGCCATCTGTTTTTCATGCATTTAGAGTTACTGATTTTTTTCAGGACAAGCTAAAGCCATCAGTCGACTTACCTATTTCTGACATACGCTTCCCTCACAACCTTAAATATGTGTCCAAGTGTGGGAGTGAAAGGTTATGGGTGGAAACTCTTGAGTTGTAACTTTTACTACACATGTGTTGGTTGAGTGGCTGATGCTAAAGACTGAATTTCTCCTCTCTACTTATGGCTGAGTTTTACAATGCAGTGTGGGATTGTATAATTTAATATCAGATTGTAAAGCTAAATAAATTCAGATTTTTTTGAACAGCAGGGCGATTTCCTTGTCTTAACACTGTGCTGTTTTCATGGAGGTAGATGATTTGTAGGCTAATCATAAACAAATTTGATGGAAAGAAGCTGTGCATGCTCAGTTTTTTCGCCTCATAAATGCAAAAATAATCAAGTTGTCTTTGCATTCTGCAGAAAAGAGGAGAGAAAGGAGGAGGAAAAGATCTGTAGGGGAAGAATTTTGTCAGCACCTGAAACCTGGCATTTTGATGAACTTCACTGCAGCTATTCTCATTAGAAAACCCCTGTTATAAACACAGGCCTGTTCTATAATGTATGATAATTATTTAGTCAGTCTTTAATCCATTTACTGCTCTGCACTCGTTCCGGCCAGACCTTTTAAATAAAACAAATGTAAGAACTCTACATTATTCCAGATTTTATTAGAAGCAGAACAGTAAAATTAGCTAGTGTTTAGTGTCAGCCACTCACTGCATTTAAGGTGATGTTTATTCAAAAGTAACACTGTAATCTAAGAGCATGACACTAGGTTCAATAATTAGAAATTAAATTTGTCCTATTTTTGCATAAAAGATTTTGTCAGACAAAAGCCAGTAGTTGTTGGCATGCTGTAAAAATGTATTTAAATTCTGTAGTCTGTATATAATCTTTCTCACGGAAATTTGTGTTGCTAATTTAAATAACAAAGCCATTGACATAGAGTAAATGAGTTGAACAGAAGGTCAGGCATTAAATTAAAAGCTACTGATGATTATGTGAATAAGAGTTCCATTAAAGCAATGAGACTGGTACACATCAAAGTTTCTTATTACTGGACAATTAATATTTCTCATGTAGAATGCAAAGGCTTACTGAGTTTTAGCAGTACACTGGAAATATTCCTGGAGAATCAAGGTTGCCTACAGTTGGATATTTACTCTTACGGCATTTTCATGGCTGTACCTGTAACAGTTTGAGGGACTCTGCCTGTGCTTTACTCATGGAAAGGCTTTAATTTTATAAATCCAAGTATTTACAGAATGTGTAGAAGCCACTTAGCTTGAACAAATAAGACTATTATAAATACAACTTGTGTAATTACTTCGCTCAAATGCGAAGATGTAAGGGGGCTTGTGACTATTTTAGATGTCGGTACCAGTTGATCACTACGGAGCTGACTGACTTCTCCATATGTTGAGCAACAAGTCGTCAGGGATCCACTGACTGCTTGGAGTGCAGTCAGAGATCTGCTGGAGTAGGTTTATCCAGATCAATTTCTCTAGCTCTGTTCTTGTGCAAATCCTTAGCTCGCTAGCTATATCAGCCTGGGTTTTACTGCCCGTTTCCACTGGGCATCTGCCAGAAGAATGACTGAGCAAGTGTTGAACTAAACTTTTGTTAAAAACCCCACACGTTTTCCTTGTTGGATATTTTTGAATTTTCTGTAGTTGCCTTCAAAGCAGTGTGGTGTTTGCATGTAAGCGTCAATTAAATGAAGCTAATTATCTGCTCTTGGTTTCCATTGTCCTTAATACTCAATGATTTTCTAATCAGGCTTTCTTACCCTCAGTATTCAGCTGCTGTGTGTTGGTTTACTTTCTAGTGCAAAACTCACAAAAGGGGTTCAGAAAATACATTTAGCCATTAAGTTTCTGACATTCTAACATCCCAAATACCTTTTGCCTCTTGAATGTTTCAGGTTTCTAAGACTTGCAGCATGCATTTCTCCCAAGTGAGACTTTTAGAAATCAAAAATCGCTGCTTGTAGGTGGTGGCTAAGGCATGTTATATGAACTGATTTGATTGTAAAACGTAAAAGGTATGTGAAGAGGAAAATGTACTGAGTTATACTGTTCCTTGTAAGCCTAAGCGATGATTTTGGCAGCAAAAATTCTGCAGCGCTTTGTGGGATACTTCCATGCTATTGCTGAAAAATAGATAGAATGGTTATTCTTAATTGTAGTTAAACTGTGAAATTCTTCAAAATTAATCTGAGCTTTTTACAGGAATTTTAAGTCGATATTAACATTTCTTATATGGAGAAAATTTGAGAGAGATGCAAACGTGTCATTTTGGGGATTATACCTGTTTCATTGTATGGTAGGAAAAGCACTACATAGTGCATACATGCAGTTTGTTTGCAGGTTTGCATATAGTGGCTTGTGGTACATACACCCTGCTGGACAGAAAGATATCATGGAAGCTGATAAACTCTTAGTATTTTTGTGTCCAGAGAAAGCCATTATACTTCAGAATTAACAGAACATGGATATCCTCAATAACAAAATGTGACAAGTCCACTTTGTATTTTTAACTATTTTCTAGCAGTAACTATACCTTTTATTTTGTAATACACATCTATAATTAACAGCTCTTGCAGACTCTTCTTGCTGTTGCTTAACACTCCTAGGAGAGGGGCTCCCCTGCCTTCACTAGGGGGACAAAAACATTACATCTGCCAATTTAACTTAGGCTGCCAGTGTATCAGGAGGTACCAGAGTGTTGTTTACTCTTCGTGAAAGAATCATCAGAAGCTGAGATTCTAAAGCAGTGGTGTTCTGCAAGGAACATTCCAAATTTGTACTTTTCTTGGTCTAGGTTTGCCATGCTGGCCGTTCCTTTTCCTTCGGCTGGTTGGACTGCCATATATCAAGTCCTACTGCTACAGCAGGATCATTTTAATTTGTCAAATGAGCCACGTGCTTAGCAATCATGGCTGAAGCTTGAATCCAAATCAGGTTATGCTATGTGAGTCCCAGAAACAGTTTTGACTAAATTTAGGCCTCCCAAACTTGCTGACAGTGGGATTACAGGAAGTTTCCAAGTTACTGAAGAGCAGGCAGATTTTATGTGTAAATTGATCTTCCCTGTGATATGAAGCTTCAGGAAACAACACCTAGAAGTTCTCACAGTCAAAACTTGTTCTTCGATGAAATATATGTGGTAATCCAACATCTTTCAGGAACAGTGCAATGCGTACTTTTCTTTTTAGCTGTAAGCCTCAGAGTCTACAATTTGCTTGTGACTTTCTTCTTTAAATACTGCTGCCAGATTTTCAGTAGTATTATTTAGCCTTGTGGCATCAAAATTGATGGATTAAGACAGCTACACCACTGAAAACACTGTGCCATAAATACTGGGAAGGGTTGGAGTGCCTCCAGTTTTGGGGAAACATTTAACTGGGGAGAAGCCCTTTAAGATGTGTGGTTGACCTGTGGCAACCTCTGCTGGTATCTGCCTCTTCATTGAGTTTTCATAGAGTTATTTTGGTTGGGATGGGAGGGTTTTCATTTTGTGAGTGCTTTGCCACTGCGTTTACCTGGCTGTTTACTTATTTAAGTATCAATTATAAATAACTGTCAACTTATTGGAGTTCTTTTTTGATAGATTTTTACATTTTTTTGAAAGCTTTCCTTGACAGAGATTTGGTCAGAAATCAATCTAGTTTAACTAGACTGCCTGTGTCTTTTATGTTGACATGTAAATGTATGCATGAACTTTAAAAACATATATAATTCCTATAGGAAATGCGTACTTAATTCTTCAAATGAATGCAAAAAATTTAACATAATTTTTAAAACCAAGCATACAGCTAATTACACCGTTAATGTGCATTTACTCTGCTTTTTGGTTTGCAGTTGCAGGAACTAACATTCTTGCTGCTTCTCTGCCCCCAACCTCCCAACCCTATTCCCTGCTGAGCCCAGTTTTCTAAACCATCAAATGAAGAAACAAAAAGAAGACTGTTTAAGTCACACTACTTTACATGAAAGCCTATTCAGGGTCTAGGCTCAGTGTTTTATCTTGAGTACTATTGTTTAACTGAAAACACATTTGTACACTTTCAGATGTAATGGTGTTTACTAAAGTGCAGAGATTTAGGGTACATTTTGTTTTAAGTGTAGCTAAAGTACAGATTTGCAGACTTAGTCATTGATTCTCTGCAATGTTGTCTGTAATGCCATGTCATTTCATTTGTGTGATTTTACACGGTTTTTGTAGAATCACGTTAACCTTTCTCTAGATGCTTCACTGTAGTTCCTGTAAGAGTTGAAAAGCAACTTTAAAAATATTTGTTACTCACTTTGAGAAAGAAACCAAGAAGCTCTCTGATTAAACAGCATCTTGTTTCATGACCATTTTTAGCCTGGCGTTAATTATTTTGAGTGGAAGTTACCTAGTCTTGAATATACATGCAAGCTCCTCCGTCAGTTACTGGAGTTCGTAATGTAAGAATCTTACTGTGAAAATCGTATATTTTGCAGGGCTCTAGCTGACATGAACAATGATGGGAGGATGGATCAGTTGGAGTTTTCAATAGCTATGAAACTTATCAAATTAAAACTACAAGGTTATCAGCTCCCATCTTCACTGCCTCCTGTCATGAAGCAGCCACCTATTGCTCTGCCTGGTGCACCAGGATTTGGTAAGCTCTTTGTTTTCTTCCTCGTTAGCTTGTATTGTAGCATGATAAGTTGAATTTGATTGTCATATTGCAGTTTCTAAAAGAAACTTTTAGGACAAAATACTTCTCAAAGTATGTGGACTCAAAAACAAACACTGCCATGTGAGTGCACATGTTGCCAATAAAATCTCAATGAGCTTTTAGCACCTGACCATACTGAATAACATAAGTTGAGGTCTTGTTTGCTTCAGATTTTATACTGCTCCCAATATGTTCCAAATAGAAGTGTTTACAGGGAAAAAAGATGCATCAGGTAGCAAGACTAATGCATTCCAAAGTGATGGAGATTTTATTTAAGCTGTTGTCATTAAGGGATCTCCAGCTTTGGCAAGATTAGCTGTGTTTTTCTTGACTTTTTACAAGTCCTGGTAGTAATGCACCCCTCTGCTTTTATCTTATGAACAGCGCTGCCCTGGTATTAGCTAGAACAGCTGCTAATTTAATTCTCGTGGTTATGTTACTACCAAGGTTGCCATGATTTCAGGGAAAAGAGTAAGGAAAATGGGATGGTGAGAGGAAAATAACTAAATTAACGTATTTGACACCTTGATGTTCTGCTGATGTTCTATAGCGAGAGGTTCTTTACCTTTCTGTCTTAGTTGTTGCTCTGACTCAAATTGACTGATGTCTAAGAATCACTGCTGTCCATAAGAAAAGGGGATAGTGCAGCCATATTGTTCAATCATTTGTTGCTTCCACAAGTTTTACAAGCAGTTTTATCTCTGTCTGTCAGAAATTAGTGAAATTGAACAGAGCAAGTACTGTTTTAAGTGAGAAAAGACATAATACAGTCAAAGCCCCAGGGAAACCAGCAAAATCTTCGATTTTCTTTTTTTCTCATTCATTGTACACTTGATCTCAGCTATTTGCAGCACCCTCATTCTTCCTGTTGGCATGACTGGACCTCCTTAACCTCCCTCTTATCCATGCAACTGTGCTTACACCTAAAATACCTCATTACTGTGCTTTACCCTATTAGCTTTGCACTGTTTCATCCTGACAATAGGCTGCAAGCAGTTGTCCTGAAGCTCGTTCTTTTCAGCTGTGGCTAAATGTAGGCTTTGGATTCATTACTCACTGGAAGTTGACAGTGCTGCTCTTCATTGAGTTCAAGGCAAACAATTCTTTTCTTCAGCAAATGCTAATAGACTTTTTTGGGCAGTGTTGCATCCAGTGTGATTGTATATGCATACATTATAAAGCGGTATGTTGTTCCCTCTGCATTGTTTTACGTTCCCCTGCCATGCTAATGGTGCAGCGGACTAAAAGAGTTCTTTCAAGGACCGTGTGGAAATTTCCATTTCAATTTGCTCTTGAATTCTGGCTTTACTGCTGGGTTGCAGCCTGCAGTTAGACTGTTGTATCATATTAGGAGTCTCTCAGTTAGAAAAAAATATCTCCTTTTCTTGCCCATAGGTATTGGGGGCATTGCCAGCATGCCATCTCTTACAACCGTTGCCCCAGTGCCAATGGCTTCTATTCCAGTAGTAGGAATGTCTCCACCATTAGTATCTTCTGTTCCTGCAGCAGCAGTACCTCCCCTGGCTAACGGAGCTCCTGCTGTTATACAACCTCTGCCTGCTTTTGCTCATCCTGGTATGCTACACACTGAGACTCTGTTTACTCTTTTACTTTTAACAAGTTATTTTACCATTTTCTTTGGATCCAGAGAACAGCAGACATGGAATTAGCCATTCTAGCTTACTTTAAAGAGTGACTTTGCGTGAGGACTGCACTTTGGTTTAGCCCGACATAACTGGTTAGCAAACTCGTATAAAAGTTCAAAGAAGCGTGGCCATACCATACTGTAACAGTCAGTCACGTTGAGCAAAATATTCGCCCTGTTACAACAGCAGTGTGATAAATCTGGCTTGCCAGTAAACTGTTCCCTAGAAATTGGTCCTCTCCTTATAACTACTGAAATACTGCCATTTGTTGGCATTACTTTAAAATACAGGACTACCTACAGTTTCCAACAATCACTGTATAATTTGGTTTCAACAGGGTTTGCATAAAGCTGCAAAAGTAAAAAGACATGAGATAAATGCCTGTGTGTTTTCACCTATCTTGTTAAACACTGTTAACTTAATGCCTTTGAAAGGGATGCCATCAGAGGAACCATAATGCTTGTATTTGATGTTAGTAGCTAACTGAACATCACTAAAATGTTACAGTAAAAAGTGCTAATACTGATAAAAACATCTATTCTCTTACTTACAGCCACGTTGCCAAAGAGTTCTTCCTTTAGTAGATCTGGTCCGGGATCACAGCTGAATGCAAAACTGCAAAAGGCGCAGTCGTTTGATGTGGCTAGGTAAGTTCGTATGGAATGAGTGTATGTGTGGATCTGGTTCCTCCGAATTAGAAAAGCTACTTCTCTTTTGCAAAGCTGTTTTCTAAAATAATATTTACTTGCAGAGATCAAAAATACTGCTTTTGGATTTCATAGGATGCTGTGGTTTTACAAGGAATGCTCCATCAATAGTGAATCTTTGAAATATAATAATTAACTATTACAGTGTGTGTTAACACTCTTCAAACTCTTGAAAGCTTGATTTTTAGACAAGTATTTGCTTCTGTAAACACGTTTGCATTGTGTAATACTGCGCGGACACTCCTGTTAGTCTGAAAACAAAACAAGTAATACTCTTTAAAATTAACAATTTTAAGAACTTCCGTAGAGGGGGTAAGATGCTGATTACCCAACTCTTTATAAATCAGACTTTCTCACAGGTCTATACTGCAGATTTTTTGCAAGAAGAAAATGGCTTGGGACATTATTTATCTATTTTTATTTTTCTTCTGCAGGTTTTTCTTGTGCTCCAGTATTAGATAAGAGACACTACTGTTTATTGACAAATAGGACTAAGAATCTTTCAGAAAAACCAAGTTATTTTTCTCTTTGAAAAGTCCTGTCAGGAACATAATAGTGATGCTCTTGATATGATTTCCAGAGGTGCAAGAAGTTATTTGCTTTTTCTATGACAATACTTAGCATTTATAACTAATGAAGTTCAAGAAGCTTCAGCTGAAATGGCTTCTAGGTACTCCGTGAGAGGGCTGTCACAGTTTTGGAGGTAACTCTGTCTGAATCAGAGGCATGAACCTCAGATGAGATGACTTCTTTCTTGAGCTGAAATTGCGTGGTTCTCTGAATCCAGTTGGGCTAGACTGGGAGCTTCCTTGGCTCTCTTGCTGCTGCCTCTGGAACTCTGGAATGTGTGCCAGCGAAGGGCGTGTTCTTTCACAGCCATCTGCTGATGCCGAGTGATGAACTGGTGTGGGTCTTCAAGTTTTATTCTGGAGAAAACAGATAGCCGAGTAATTGATTTGCAGAGTTTGGCAAAGGGAAGAGGAAGAGCTAAGTCCGTGAAATCAAAATGTAAAGTTTAAGTATTTATTGTTTTTTTCTAGCTGAGAGTTATTTTGAATTTTGAGAAGGATAAAATTCAAAATTCCTTTTGCAGTGCTTTTCTCTCTCTGTCTGCCATGTAACCAGTAGCAAACTCTTGGAGTGCGTGGTGTTTGACATATAGGAGCCAACTGTTTTATTCTCAAGCATTTTTTCTTCCAAAACTGCCGTTTGAGTATCCATGAAGGAGAGTTTCATTACTTAGTGTGTAGTAACCTTATGTCACAGATCAGGGTAAATATGTGTTTGTAAGGCAAAATATATTTGTACCTATTATGTGAGATGAAAGTAGACTTAGTGTGTGGAAACTCTAAATGTGGCAAAACTGGTGAGGGAGGAAATCACATGGATAAAACTAAATAGCTTGGTTTTTTTAAAAATAATGATTCTTTTATTTAAGGTGCATCTTGATTTTGCTTTACTCTCTGGAAAGAATATTATTAAAGCACAATAGATTGGAAATAGAGAATAGAAATAGAGATATTAGCTGCTTTGGGTCTTGTCATGTGAAAATGGGATGAAGTCAATTAGTAAAGTATTCATATACTCCTCCTCAGCTCATCTTTGAAAAATCTTATCATGCTGTCTGCTCAGTGGACCAGGGAAAAAGGATTTGGTGGCTTTGGTTCATTTTTTAAGCTGCAGTTTAGTATGGTATTACATATGCTTTAGTCTGGCTGGTTTTTGTTTTTCTTTTTCCTCTCCAGTCTTAACAAAGAAGGATAAAGTTTGAATGTACCTAAAGACGGAAGTGTGCTCACTGTTTTTCAGCATGAAGACATGTCAGCCTTCAGGCATGGGAAATTATAGTTACAAATAGCAGCACTCAACTTCTATGTGAATGAATTAGAACTGGGAATATTACATTTGTCAGCTGAGTTCCATTATGAGGAACTTTGATTGCTTTCAAGTGTAACTTTTTCATGCTTTTTTCTATGCTTTCAGCATAGTTTAGACTTGTATTTCTTAATCAGTTTATGAATTATTTGACTAAGACAACCAGTTAAATACAGGGTAGAATGAAATATTGCTTCTGCTGACTGGTAGGGCATTTGCTCTTGTATGTTTGGGTATAAACTTTTAGCTTCTCTGAACTGCTTAGGTTACTTCATTCTCTCTGCTAGTAAAGAAATAAGGAAAGCTCTTAAGCCTGTCATCCAACTTTGCCAACAAACATCTTCTAAGACTGAATTACGATAAATGTTTTGAAACGAGGAGTCAAACGTGTTTTGATTTCAGGAATTAGAAGGGAATATTTGTGGAAAGAGCCACTTCAGGCATAAAACTTGATGTCTGTGTAGCACTTCATCCTGTTATACCTGTTAGATTCATGCTATTAAACTTAAAACTATATTTTCCTCCCCCATCCTTTTTTTTTAATTCTAGTGTGCCTCCTGTGGCAGAGTGGGCTGTACCTCAGTCATCAAGACTGAAGTACAGACAGCTGTTCAATAGCCATGATAAAACAATGAGTGGACACTTAACAGGTATTGCAGCAGTTTTTGTTGTCTCCTTCTTTGAACTGTAAAAGGAAATTAAGATAACATTTAGAATGCTATTCAGATAGTAAGAAACTCTCACCTCTTTCTGTTGCGACTATCAATATTTTTCTGATCGCATCTCCCAAACTACCGAACTGATCTTATTTGGAAGCAAATATTCATCATAGCTGGGGTCGGTTTATTACCTTCATTCCTTTGTTTTCTGGAAAATAAGTTGGCACTGGGAGGTTACTCTTGGAAAGTGTACAATGGATTATGTGGAAACTTGGACAGCAATTTATAGTGTTCAGTTTACCCACCGATGAGGGTGCCTGTTGTTTCAGAAGAAAACTAGAATGGTACACTGGCCTAGTTTTACTAGTTCTGGGAGCATCTTGTTGTGTTTCGTAGCTTCTCTTTTAAATCTGAGAGACTGTGGTAGAGAATGGAAGGTTTATGTATTTTTTAGTATTTTCCTTTGTGGGAGACCCTAGTTCATACTGATAACATCTACGCAGTGATACCTGTTCAGAACTAAGATATGCTTGTGGAGTAGCTACATGGTAATGCAAGAAAAGGAGAAAGTTGCTTATTTGTTTGTTAATCCTTGTTTCACCTTTATAGGTCCGCAAGCAAGAACTATTCTTATGCAGTCAAGTTTACCCCAGACTCAGCTGGCCACAATATGGTAAAAATAAATCTATCAAATCCCATCAAACTGGAAACTGTACTTAAACCTCTATACTGTGGGATGTTTTTTCCCTTTTCAGTCTCTCTCTGCTGATAAATTGCTGTATGTTGCTCTTTTTAATGTATAACATTATAAAACAAAACCTGCACTGCCATGCTTATATCAGTATTGCTTCACAAAAGTGTAAAAAGCGCATCTTTTACACCATGCACGTAGAGGTTTTATAAGTTAGGTTTCAGTTATGGGGTTTGTGGGCAAACCAGATATTCAGCCTCCTATGTTGTCCACGTTCCCAGCCATATGTGATGCAGCACCAGTGAAACTTGCACATTTGCCCAGATGGTACAGAAGGAAGCTTAATCCAGAACCACACTTTCTTTGGGGCTTGTCTGCTTTTTGGTTGAGTTTCTAAGGGTTTATTTCCAAGGAGTTGAAGTTACTTGCATTTAAAATAATGGATTTTAAAAGGATTTGCCTCAGCTTCTCTCTTTCCTTTCAACTTCTTGTTTGCTGAAGTTGATTATGGTCCTGTTGTTACATGGAAAGTTATTTCTAATTAACTTCTATGCTTTAAAAGCCTTTGCCTGAAAAACCATTGTCAGCTCACTAACCCATGTGATTCTGCGTGAGGATGCCAACCATGTTACTCTAATGAGATGGTTCAGTTGCACTTGCTTTCTTTGCTAGGCACTGATGTTTTGGTTGTATCTTAAAAAGCACTATCTTTCTCTGTTTCCTAACAAAGCTACTGTAACAAAAAAAAAAAAAAAATCAACCCAGTCATCCGGCAGATGATTAACCAAAAAATACTCTGCTCATTGACAGCACTTAAGTAGGTTGTGTGGGCAGGGGAATGACATCAGCGTACTCCAGGAGCTCTAAACATAAACCTTTTTTAATCTTTGACATTCAGAACTGCCAAGAACTGCCAAGTCTATTGAGATAAGGAGTCGATTTCAGTGCTTTTGGTGTCCTAAGTATTGCTCCCTGTCCTGATACTTAGTGGCAGTGGAACCACTTTTGCTGTTCTCTGGAGCAAGATTTGTCACTCTCATGTTGGGATTGGATTCACTGACTCACAGATGCTCAGAAGTGAAGCACTGATATGCAGCTTGTCAGCTATTCTGTAGCAGCTCTTCTGGTATTTCCGTAACAAAGATGTGGAGCCAGGCTGTTAGGATAGCTGTTCAATTATCTCTCTGCAAGCTAGATTTTTATTCTACTGGCTTGTTCTTGTGCTCCAGCCTGTAGAGTTCAGTAACATAAGCGTGGTTCAAATGAGGATATAATTGTCTTCCAAATTTAAATCCCATAAACAAAGTTCTCTACCTTGAGACATCAAAAGAGTGTACAAATTGCTTACCTTTGATTTTCAAAGTACCATGGGAGATTCAGAGTGCAGCATGCTAGAGAAACAGGGGTGATGTTTAGGCTGTTAAATTTTGACTGATATCACTTTAACATGAGTAACAGCATTTTCTGCATCTGTTGGAGCACTGGTTTTAGGCCATCCAGAGATGTCATTCCCTAATTTTTAATATGTGCATAATGCTAAGAAGTTTTTGTGCTCGTCAGGACCAGAATGTTAACGGCTTTGATTTTAATGCAAATGTGTGTTCTGGAATGTGAGATAGGAGCCTCCAGTGAAGAAGGAGACCAAACCAAAAAGTTCTGCCAAACACCCGAAGTGATTCTTTTCGAAATGATACTGTGTAGTGGATGTTCACAAGGTGTCCCAAGAAAACTACAATGGTTAACGTTTCTCAGTTAGCACATGGCACAGGCAACACTCACAGAGCAAGTTAAGTAGAGGCAATGGCTCTAAGGGCAGCTTCAAGGCAGACTTGCATAAGAAATGTGGGAAATAGTGAAGCATTTGTGTATTCCTTTTTATTTCTTTTGAAGAAACGAAGTAGTGTGGAACAGATAGTGGAAAATTGAATTAATTTGCAGCTGAATACATTAAAACTATGCTTTTTAACAGTGATTTTTAATATTTAAGAATTTACTTACTTTTTACCTTCCCTTTAAAAAGGAATCTTTCTGATATCGATCAAGATGGAAAACTTACAGCCGAGGAGTTTATTCTGGCTATGCACTTAATTGATGTAGCTATGTCTGGTCAGCCGCTGCCACCTGTACTGCTTCCAGAGTATATTCCACCTTCATTTAGGTAACTGGTTATAATTCTGGAATCTTGCTTCTAAGGTGTTTTTCTTTAATTTGAGAAAGCTGCCCTGTGAACATAAAGTATAAGAGACTGAAATGTAACCCCTCTACTTTTAGTACTGCGTCTATGGCACGAAGTGCTCTCTTGTTGAGGAATGCTTTTCTAGCTTTTTAGTTTTGCTGGAGGTACTAAGAGCAGCAAGAATTCTTTGTAAGAACAGTTTTGGTCGTTGTTTTATGCTAGCATAATTTCCAAAACTTAGTCAGCCTGACCATATAAATTTAAAGTGTTAGAGCTCAAGCTTATATTCTGTAGAGCAAATGGGATGTATTGGAATTCAAACCGTGCCTTGAATTTACACTGTAGCAAATTTAGATGTCTTTTGATACAGTTATCCCTGTGAATAGTACTGTTGACTCACTACTTCACTTTTTTTTGTGGAGAAATGGGTGGGAAAGACAGCAACAGCAATGGAAAGAAATCTTTGTATACAATCTTAGCTTCATGTTCTTTAAGTATCTTCCTGACAATTACAATATTTTGTTTATTCTGTGTGAAGTCTTGGTTTTAGCTTGACTATAGTGAGATCTTCCTCTGTCTTTGCAACTTTTGCTATCGTTTCAGTCAGCATTTCCCCAACTTCAGATTGGTCACAAGTAAGAGATCTTGGGGACAGGGCTGAACAAGTTGCATGCTGCTGTGAGCTTTGAACTAGGTTTCTCAGGTCAACAGTGTGTGCTTTTGGGACTCTGGAAGATACTGTTGTCTTACCGGCAGCAGCTGAGTAAAATCTTCTGGGTGACACTGAGGGAACATTGAATTAGGATATTTTCATTAAATTATAAATAAAATTGGCAGGCATAAGTTCTTTTAAGCAGCTTGGAATTATTGTTTTATTGACAGACGAGTACGCTCTGGTAGTGGCATATCTGCTGTAAGTTCAGGATCTGTAGACCAAAGGTTACCAGAAGAACCAGCATTAGAAGAAGAACAGCAGCAACTGGAAAAAAAATTACCAGGTGAGCAAGCAAAACCAGAGACATATTGTGTGCTGTTATCAGAGAGGTGTCGTCATCAGGTTATGTGCTGTGGAGTTATGAAGGGTTATTAAAAAATGTGTTCTTTCCAGATCAAGTTTGAGGCATGTCAGAGGCATAACCGAGACCTCGCTTGGTCCAGCTCATTCCTGACTGTTGCATGGTCCTGCGTGCGAGGGACAATGGAGATGTGAACAGTGTTCAGGCTGCTTATCTTACGCACTCTCGGCAAACACAGGACTGCAAGGAAAACTTGTTGCTACCTCTGTCTTATGACTCAGATGGAGTGTAGTTTGGCTTATGTACTCTTTAAAAGACCACAGTATACCTAAAAAGGCCTGTTTCATTACAGTGTGTGTAACTGTGTTCTTATATACAAGCTTCACCATTTCTGCTTTTGGGCAAATTAAAAAAAACTTATAAAAAGGAAGAAAGGTGTGGAATGAGAAAAGTGTAGAAAGCCTCCTAGATGTTAAATGGCTAAATGATAGGAAACATCTTAACACTTCTGGTCATCCCCTCACTCTTCTTTGTACTTTCTTTACTTTTGCTCTATTTTATTCCAAGACTACCAGAATGTCACACAGTTGAAGATACAGCAACATGACAGATTTATACAGTGCCGTAATAGTATTTTTCTGGTTTGTTCTAAATTATTTTTAAATTGTTTAATTGATTCCTAGCTCTATGTTGCCTCTTTGATCACAGCTTAGATCTGAGTTGATGTTTTAGAAGACTTTCCGTGGTAGTGCTAACATCCTTCCACAAATCTATTAACCATTTTAGGGCTCGTGACTGTGTGTGTTTAGTTAGGATTACTTATGTTCCCCATGTACACTACTCTGCATTCATTAATATTTGAATTTCCTCTGCTTCTTCATTGCCAGATCACTCGATTTTGTGAGATTCTTCACAGTCAGGTTTTTACTTTTAATAACGTGACTATCTGGCATCAGCCGCAGAAGCTGTCTTGTTACTTTTCAATCTTTTCCAGATCATTGTTGCACACTGAACGGCACAATTGCTAGTAGAGATCTTTGAAGGAGTCTACTGAGAATCTTTCTGTCGTTGTGAAAGTTGGTAATTTATTTCACCCCTTAATTCTGATCTTTTAACTGTTTGTTAGTTCTCAAGGACCTTCTGACTCATTCCATAGCCGGTTAATTTAGGCGATTTGCATGTGAGCAGTTCAGATACAGCCTTGTCTTTGGTTTGTATTTTATAATTAACTGCTGCTGGCAGTCTGCTGGGTAATTCCTGGCCATAGGAGGATGAAGGGAGAGAGCAGGAGCTGACACTGAGGTCTCACAGTGAAGCATTTGGTAACAGGTGAGTTGTGACTTCCCTGTATTGGCTCTTCAAGGCCTAAGTCTTGTGTGTCAGGAATCAGAGGATTTTGGTATGCAGCTTCTACTGTCGGGAAGGTCAACCACTCCCTCGACTTAGTTTCTTTATTAGACCTTGAATTCATGCAGGTATTCCTCTGTCGACCTGATTGATCTTCTTTTTCAACTTGCTTATTGATACAGTTGGGTCTATTAGACTTGAGAGGCAGCTCTTTCCTACGTTGGTTCTTCCATGGTGTCATGTTTAGTCATGGAGACCAACTCACTCGCTGGCAATTGTGACCTTTGCTACTTTGCGCAGCGTGGGAGTAGACCGACTTGTCTGTAGCTTTCAGGATCGTTATTCTGTCTTTTCGTAAAGACTGGTGTTGCGCTTGTCATCTTCTAGTCTTACAGCGCGGACGGATGGATTGCACAGCACAGCTAGCAGTTCATGAATTTTGTGTTTGAACTATGGATCAGCACTGTCTGGATTTAGCAACCTGTTACTTTTAGTATTTTTGGTTTATTTTCATTTTAAAGCTGTTCCTGCTTGGAGTTAAAGAGGAACTGTAATGTTTTACTTTACTGTATTTGATGTATAGATTTTTTTTTTTGATGTATAGATTTTTTTTTTTACTTTTACTGTATTTGATGTATAGATTTTCTGTTGTAAAGATCCCTTGTAATAGTGAATGTCATCTTGCTTCTTCATTGACGGTGCTAAATCTGGCTGGTAGTTTTTTTCTTCTTTTGAGACATTTGAAAGAGTTTTTATTGTTGGCTTTTGTAGCCTTTTAGAAGCTTTCCCCTAAGTGTAGTAACACAAGCCAATAGCTACTTATTTAATGTTCTAGAAGTTGTTCTGTTCTATTTTCATACTTTGGATACGCTTTGATTTTTTATTTCTGGTCACTACTGTAATTTTGCTGAGTGACCATATTAGTTTGTTGGGCAGCCATCTTTGAATTTGCTGTTTCTTCTTATCGATATGTGTTTTCTGAGCCTGGAACATGATTTCTTAAGTCCATGCTATCTGCAAGTGTTTTGCCTGCCTTCCCCCCCACCCCCGCCTTTTTTGCTTGGTTTCTTAAATCAGTGGGAATTAAAATCACATTCTCTTACCAGCCTGTATCCTAATATTCTTTGAACCCAGTGGCTAATTTTAAACAAACTTGACAGAGATCAAAGTGCTTAAATTTTTTCAAGTTTTATGAAAATTGGTGATTGGCAGTAGGAAAGGGGGCCAAACTTAGAAAAATGCCAGAATTCAACTGATTCAGCAGATGTCAGGATAATGTGTCAAGCAGTGCCTGCACGCTGTAAATCTGCTCTATCTTGGCTTGACTTACTTGCCAAAAATGTATGTTAGGCATGCGGGGAGGGAAATATAGAATATGGGCTATGGGAATGGGACATATAGGGTATGAAAAGAAACAGAAGGTGAAGTGGAAAGAATAATTTGGAGGAACTGTCGGGGAGGGACCTAGGAATGTGAAACAGGGAGGACAAGCCTGGATATGCAGAGTAGTGTCAGGAAACCCGTGCTGGAACTGAGGTCATTCTAGGACAGTCAGTGCTGAGAATGCAAATCTGCAGGAATCCAGGCCTCCTTGAGTTCAGCTGCTGAAGAACTTAAGCAAGCCATTTCTTTCCCTGACAGTAATGAGTCATCTTATGAGAATACCGAGTTTAAATACATTCTGGTCATTTGCATAATAGCTTTCTGATATCATCAGCTGACTTTTTTGCCTTGTAGTAATTGAAGTGTTGGTTCTTCTGCTGCTACTGTTGTTAAATAGTATTATAGAGGAACTCCAGATCCTGTGTCCTCACAGAGGATTAACTGTTGAATGGTTTGTCTATATTACACCCACTTGGGCTTTGGGAGAAACCTAGAAGCCTGAGGAACGGGAACTTAAATTCACACCTTGGTTTCCCAAGGATGTGGGCTTAAGGGAATTTACAATATAAATAAATGTTAATGATAAAACCTAGAATCAACTGTAGAGCTATATTATGAATAGTTGAGAGTTGCATCTAGTACTACTGGAAGGTTGTTTCACTTTGTTCCGGTATATATGGCTTTAGTTTCTTTTAAGTTGGTAGCAGAGTTTAATTCCTCTTTGCCCCATGTTTCCACACATTAAAGTTACATTTGAAGATAAAAAACGGGAAAACTTTGAACGCGGCAATCTAGAACTTGAAAAACGAAGACAAGCTCTCCTGGAACAACAACGCAAAGAACAAGAACGTCTAGCCCAGCTGGAACGGGCAGAGCAGGAAAGGAAAGAACGTGAGCGACAGGAGCAAGAACGTAAAAGACAACTAGAACTAGAGAAACAGTTGGAAAAACAACGAGAATTGGAACGTCAGAGAGAAGAGGAAAGGAGGAAAGAAATAGAAAGAAGAGAGGTAACCAACTGGATAAAAGGTGGTTATGTCACTGGCAGATGTATTTGATTAGAACAAAATGTAATGTGTATATGAAATATTTTGGTGTTATTTTTAGTAAGCAGACAAAGAATGAACTTAAATTTCTCTTGAAGATAAGAGTCAGCTGTCTATTTACTTTTAATGTGAAATGAATAGATGAGACATTTAGATCTAGGACAATGTGCTGCTAACCTCTGACTTCTTTGAAAATAGTAATTATTATTTTCTTAGATATGAGGAGATGCTTGAAGGAACAAAGAAAAACTTATGGGCATCGTGGCGTCCGTGATTTTCCTGTGATCAGTTAATTTGTTAAAGAAAATGCATTCTGGTTGACCTAAAAAGCTGTTATTTTCTCACATTGCCAAATAATGATGCATTCAGTGCAGCAGCATCTGACTGTTCTTTGCAAAGCTGCAGAATGTCTAATGTTGGAGGCTGGAAAGAGATTTGATGCTATCCTGGAGAGTAGTGTTAATGTGAAACAACTTGTTAAATCGGAAAATTAGATCTTGGAAAACAATTATAATGGAGGGATATTCTGTTTAGTCACCTATCTGCTTACAGCGAAGCCTCACTTCACCACTGCTTTCAAGTGAGCATTTAAACAGTTGAGCAATTTCTGTGCTGGAATAGTCCACAGTTTTGCAGTGTGTTTCTATTAATGTTTTAATTGCTCTTTAGAATATGAATATCGGTGATTAAAATAGTTTCTCAAAACAGATCCTTCATGTCTTCTTCATTTTTTCAAATGCTGCAGGCTGCAAAACGGGAACTTGAGAGGCAGCGGCAACTTGAGTGGGAGCGTAATCGTCGGCAAGAGCTCCTAAATCAAAGAAACAAAGAACAAGAGGACATAGTTGTTCTGAAGGCAAAGAAGAAGACCTTAGAATTTGAGCTGGAAGCTCTAGTAAGTGATTTCGCTGCCAGTAAAACACAATAGTGGCTGTAGTTTGCTTATTTTCTGTAATTTCAGCTTTTAAATGTGGATTAAAAGGGCTTTTTACATCCTGACTTGCATGGCAAACCATTCTGGTAAAAAAGAGAGATATTTTTCTTCTTTTTCTAAAGAATGATAAAAAAAATCAATTGGAGGGAAAGCTTCAGGATATCAGATGTCGGCTGTCTACCCAAAGACAAGAAATTGAAAGTACAAATAAATCTAGAGAACTGAGAATTGCAGAAATCACACATTTACAACAGCAGCTGCAGGTGAGAAAACGTTCTGTGTTCTTAGCCTTGCATTTTGACCTCTTCAATTGCATCAGTATCCTAAGCAGACTTGCTGCATGATGTGTTGTGCTTTGTACATAAGGAATCGTTGTAGATAATTGGTTGTTCTTTTAAATGAATGTTCCTGAGACATGTCTAGGAATTGCTTCCTAGACTTGAAGGTGTGTCTGTTGTTGTCACTTCACCCTCATGGAATCCTTTTGTGATTAAGAAATTGTTAAAGAATTTGAGGGGATGAGGAGAAAAAATTGTACAGCATGTATTTTTGTTGGCGGTGATTGCTGTTTGTGTGCTGAAAGAAAGAATTGACTTCAGTGAAGTGGCTTGTTGGTGATGCCTTTTTTTAAATTATAAAATAATGGACTTTGAAAATTGAAGTTCCAATTAAACCAATTAGATCTTGGTCTAACCGTGGAATTTGTCTTTCCTGCTTTATCTAAAATTCTCTGTCAAATTAAAGGTAGAATTGAGGTAGATGTCTGCTTTTAATGAAGGAATATTCTCTGTAATTTATAAAGGTTTGTAGAGTTGTAGCATTTGATTTAGGGGTTGGAACTAGATGATCTTGAAGGTCCCTTCCTGTTACATGATTCTATGAAATTGATTCTTGGCCGGTAATGGGGGATCTCAGTGCTTTTCTAGCACAACAAAGAGGATCTTGCCATTATTTTATAAGGGCTTAGGTGTAAAACCTATATTATAATCTAAGCCTGCTGTTCTATTTCAGCTTTCTAAACATAATTAACATAGTACATTGATTTGAACAAAACCGGAACTTGAAAGTTCAGGTTCTGTGTTTTACGTATTTCTTTTGTATTTTTCTTTTTTTTTCTTGAATCATCTTATGTTTGTGTTGATGTTTGGTGTACACTGTTGCACCTTTCAGAAGACATCATTCTTTTGGCAGCAGCTTACTATCAGAAGTATGATTTAGGGATCATATTTTTTCACAGCATTTGTAGCCACCTGGTGCAAACAATAGCAAACAAGGAGTACTACTAAGGGACGTTGTGACATAAACAACTGCCATAAGTTAAAGCTGAAGCCACTCTTCTCTCTTTAATGAAATGCTCCTGTATTGGCAACTGAAAATGAAGTCAAAGAGCATTGAATCAAATGTAGGAAATTAAGTTACACTTAGCAGTACTGGCTCAAAGAGACAAAAAACTGACTATGCCTGATAAAATGCATGAAAAACACCACACTTACCTGAATAAATGAGAGATGCTGGTCTTATGTGTAAAGGCAACACTGACCTGAATTTCACTCTAACTCCAAGCTTTCTGGAGAAACAGTGTAAGGTAGTGTAACTCACTTCAGAAAAATCAAAGCAGCTACATTGCCATTGATAGATGAATGCTATTTTAACAAATTGAATGGAATTAATATCCTACTTTCGTGTGTTCCTTCTGTTAACTTTGTAATTTTTGTTTAGTTAGCCTCTGTAGTCAGAAAAGATAAAGTATCTTTTTGCTTTTATCATAACAAATTAAGGAGGAAAAAGTTGTGCGTTACAGTAAGCAGTTTAAGTTATGTTATTGTACAGACCAATGTGCTGCAGCTATGATAGGGTCCCATTGTAACAGACATTATTAAAACATGTGAGAAAATATTGTTGTTAAGAACTTGGAATAAGTTTCCACAGCTGAGTATAATAAATGGAAGGTGCAGAGGGAAGAAGAAAAATGTGAGACCAACGCTATCAGGAAACAAGTAATGAGAAAGATTATCTAAAAGTAGATGTGGTTAAGTAGCTTGTTAAAAAGTACTAGATAAACAAGGGGCAGTGTTCTGTGTACACTCATTAACAATGTCTTGAAGTTTGGCTGATTGTACATATACTTTCTCCTTACCTACAGCTTTTATGCATCGGTTTTAACTACATCATCATGAAAGGAAAAGTTAAGGAGGGCAGTGGGATCCTTCCCCTTCCCAGCATTTTAATTTGTGCTACTTATTACCCAGTCACAGTGATTGCAAGGCAAATTGCTTTTTAAAAAAATTATCTTCAGCATTTTGACACCACTCTGAAATTTTATTGAAACACCTGGCAAAGTACAATGAATTTTGCACAGTTGTTTACATCTTACTCTTATTTTGGAATCACTGCTATATTCGTAGTGATTTTTGACCATCTCTGGTCACTGTAATTGGTACTAGATGGTAGGTATCCAGCAGCTTAGTTAATGCCTAGTCGCTTTCCAAATTATTTGATTCTCAATGACTGCAAGAACACTTGTGCAATGAAGG